TCACTCGAGCCCGGGACTGAGTCCTCCCCCCACCTCCCCCGGCTCACGCTAATCCCCGTGTAGCAAGCCCTCCTCCCCTCCCTTAGGTGACAACTTACAATGCCCCCACCCACAAGGGTGCCAGTCCTAAGCCCAACGGAGCAAAGTAGGGCCCTCAAATGGCACGGTTTCACTCTAACACCGGTGTCTTTTGAACTACACCAATTTTATTGATTCATATTTATAATATATTGACGTTCAAGGCGGGTGTCTCTTGGAAATAGCCTCTACTTTCTGAGTAGGGGCAATGTCTACGTACACACCCTCCCCAAACCATACTCTTGTGGATCCAACTGGGTTGTTGCTGTTTTAGACTAAGAAATCATTCAATGCCAATGGAGCTAAAAGAGTACAATGGTTTAGCTTCAGACAAGGAATGGACTAAACCAAAATGGCACGTCAAACTTCCCTTGCATCTTACTTTAAATGAGGTTTTGGGCAGTAAGTGCAGCAAAGCATGAAGGGTCTAAACTAAAAGTAAATGTGTCATACTTTATACCAAGTTTTTTGTTGTTTGTTGTTGTTGCATACATAGTCTAAGAAATCTAAATATATCTTAGTCGGGATAAAAAAGAGTATTTCTTAGCAAATTTTTCCTTTCCCCTGTCATTTTCCTAAATCAATTACATAGAGCTGGGAAAAATACTTCAAGTAAAAAAAGGTTTTTCTACCTCTGTAAGCTTACTGCCCTGAGAGGCTGCCCATTCTCTCACAGCAGACATTGTTATCTGCATACAAAAGAAGAGATATTCATGTTAAAAACAAATATCACTGCTGAAGTACAGATCACCATACCATCACAGTTACAGAGAATCCACATGAGCAATATAAATAGAAACATTAAAATCAATTCTCAGACACAAGTACTCTATTGTGTGCTTTATTTATTTGCTCAATTTTCAAAGTCTACACATTTCATCTGTGAGCAAGGCGCTATATCAGTTGGAGACTGAAGAGCATGCAAAAGATTATTTTGATTTTACCCTCCTTAACTTACATCCTAATATTTTTTACCTCATGTTGCATGAGATTCTTTATATTCATTCGCCACCGGGATATTGAGCGACCCCACCAATATTTTAAAAATTCCAAATACTAATCAAATTTGTAAACATTATCCAATACCAAAATGTCATATTCAATATGTAGATTAGCTAGGAGGAATTTGGAGTGAATCTAGCAGGACTCCACAGAAAGTCCACACTCAAACTCCACCTTTAAGTAAGCAAAACAATGCATCAGTTAAACAAGGTTTCAGTAGTGTCTTTCAAAATACAATCATGAGAACTGGTAATCTGAATAATCAAGTTACAACTTCATATTACATGCTCACTTACCTCCTAGGGCAAGATGAAATAACAAAAAGCAAAATATCTAGGGAGTGTATAAAAAAGGAGTATCAAAAAGCAATTAGCAGGTAGTTACTTGCTTTTAAGGCTTATAAAAATTAAAGGGAACCCAATAAACAAAACTGCAAACGAATAAGCGGGTAACAACTTCCTTTGAGCTTATGAGGTTTCAGTGTCTTTAAAAAGTATTCCATATTTACCTAAGCCTTTTATCCATTATCAAACATGAAAATTTTAAAAGCTATTTTAAATAAGTGATAATCCTAAATTTATTTAATTTTAAAACACTCCCTTACTCAAGTAATTATAAGCACGAAAAAACAAATATAAAGCAAAAGAAAAGAATAAGCAACTAACCTCCCTCCCAATAATAGCTATTGAAGGTACAGCCAATAGCCACGGAAATTGTTCAAAAGAGCTGGCTTCCAAAGGTCTGGTACACAATAAGACCAAGGTGGCAGCAACCATTAGCTGTTGCGGTCAAAAGGAAACTATATTAAACCCTTTCCCAGTCTGTGCAAAGCCAATAGGGAAACATCTCTCTGGTTTGAAAGACAAGTGCTTCTTTTGCTATGTAAATTTTC